AAATTATAGCGACTGAGGTTCATTGAAGTATGTTGTCTTGGGTTTGCATTCGCTTGTACAACCAGAACAGCGAGGGTTTGGATCACTGAAATGCTTCTGAGAGCTTAGAATTCTTCTGTTATTTGATGCGTCTTTCTGATCTGGGCTTTAGATGTCAAAACAACAAATAATTCGTCACTGTACAATAATTGTTTGTGCGCTTTTATTTATAAAATACGACTTTTTGGTGCTAACTATTAAACTGTAGTGGATGTCAGTGATAGTTCGTTTCAATTTTGAAAGCAAATTCTATGGCTGACGATGAAATGCATGTGATTTACAGTAGCGACAGTAAATTTTTGTCAGTTTGTCTCGTTTTTCAGCATGTAGGTCTAATTTGTTAGAAAAGCATCATAAAATTTTGAAATACAAATTAAAAAGTCCTACACAAGATTTTTCATTTTTGAAAATTTTGAATGCATTGTTTTTTATAATTTTTTAGAATTTTTTTGTATCTGCTCATCTGTTTTACAGTACTGATTGATGTTATATGTTCAGAAGCAGAAGACAAAATGTAGTAAGCCATAAACTATTACATTTAATAAGATTGACTTGGACTACAACTTGAGGAGGGTAAATTTACCGGATAGAAACGTTATATACTGCAGCTTTACATCTGCTTTACTAACCAGCAAAATTTTGAAAAATTTTGAGATATTGAGTGAAAAAAATACAGTTATTCGTTCAACGGCTTATATATAAATATATACATAAATTTTTGTTTATTTAAACTTATATTTATTTATATATTTGTTTGTTATTCGATTTATCTACTTTTTGAGTAGCTCCACATCACTGTCTCATTTAAAACTTCAAATTTTGGACTTCTCTGACCCAGTGAGGTATTTAAAAAAGGGTAATATATGGTAACATTGATGAGAAGCTCGTAGTCTGCAATAACTTCTTATCACATTTTTGTTTCATTTTATTCTCATATTCATCTTTGGAATTTTTTGTTTGAAAATTAAAGACGCGGTTTGTTATTAACGTATCCTCGTTTGCGCGAAAAAGGAAATAGTGCTTGTGTAGATAGTTAGGCAATTGGTAAACCAGATAACGTTTCCGGGTCTCTCTGATGTCTTCCTATCAGTATTTCTTTATTTTTCATTTTCCTTTGCTTATAGGTTGCTGTCGCAAAATAATGAATAAGGAATTTCTAATTATTTATTTAATTTATGTTTTTAGGTAGCAAAGAAGGACCGACTGAAGGAGGAATCCGCTAACGGTCGAGATGAACATTATCCTTGTCCACAGTGCCCGCAGGTCAACAAAATTTTTTAATGATGAAACATATGAGACACATTTTATAAACTCTTTGGTTCTAAAAGTCAGTTTTACATTATTTTATACAGCGGAATTTGCAGGTTTTTGAAGCTAAAGGGGGCCTACGAGAACATTTGTTTAGTCACCATATGACATACGAAGAGCGCCAGGTTTCACTTCAGAACTTTATTCTAGCTATAGTTGTTCCGTTGCTTATTTACTGTTATCAAAAAAAAGCTTATTTCAGAAGTACCATCAACAGGAGTTGTTAAAACAACGGGAAGCTGCAGTAAGTTGTAAGAATGAAAAAAATGTTTACTGCTGCATCACATGCAATCAGGTATGTAAGTTATTTGCAGGGTTGGAGGACTTTCTTTCCTGGAATTTCTATTTTTATCTAATGAAGAACGAATTAGTCAGATGCTTTCAGTTATTTCCGTCTCAAGAAAGATGTAATGTCCATATTGCAATGGAGCACCCGATGCAACCTCTACTTGTTGAAGAGCCAAAAAAATGTTCTTGTGCTATTTGCAAGCAGGTACTTCACTCACATTACCCGACCTGCTATTTGACGTTTAATGTGGTGCATTTCAAAACAAGTTAGATAATTAAGTATTATTTGTAGACTTCTGTTCAAGCTCAAAAGACCTTGAAACCTCAACGAAGTTTTAAACGCTCAAAAGAAGAGGTGGTATGTGATGGATTTCGTTGTTCTGAATGTGGAAAGGTAATTTTGTAGAGTAGAAACCAACAACTGAAAAATATTTGAAAAACAATTCTCAAATATGGTTTCAGTTGTTGATTTTCTAGCGTATCTATCTCTTATGAAGTAAGTGACTGTGAATATTTTGGATAAAAATAATTTAGTACTAGGAAGCTTGTGTGCTGCAAAAAAACTTTTTTTATGGAAGTTTAGTAAACTTATACTGATTTTGCAGTTGTTTCCAAGCAAAAACCATGTCGAAGAACATGAAGCTGTAGTACATCAGGGTACCTCTACAACTACAGTTCCTTTTGGAAAATTTGTATGTCAGTTCTGTAATGAGGTATGTTTTTGCTTTAACAAAATGAGTTAGTACAAAAGTGTCCTTCAAGAAAAGAGCAGGTGATGAGCGGGATAAGTTTTAGGGCTTTAGTAATCAGGATCGCCTAACGAAACATATTGCATCTCGCCATCGCAACCCAATTGAGGAAGCTCAGAAGGCCCACAAGTGTGGAGTTTGCGGGAAGGGATTTGCGAGAACTGACATGTTGAGCCGGTGACATCTTTATTCTTAAGCTTCTTATTTCTCGTGTAATAATAGCAGCATATTATTAAGTATTCTAAAAAGTTCTAATCTTGGGACGAAATTCAAGGCATATGCGACTTCATAAGGGCGATAAACCGTTTGCCTGTACAGTCTGCGGGCAGGAATTTTCAAGAAGCGACCACCTTACAACACATATGCGAACTCATTCTGGGGAAAAACCTTACCGATGTCCTTTTTGTTGTTATGCTGCAGTAAGTATAGGAAACTCATTTTTTCTTTGAATTTAACATTGCTCACAGTTTTTTTCTCCGGAAAACTTTAAATATATTGTAAATTTAGAGTCGAAGGGACATGATGAACAGGCATCTTAAAACTCACAGTAAATCTCCCGAACATGTCAAAGCTCAGGAAACTCGCATGAACATTGAAGGCCGTTCGTGTTCCTTATCTCCAAACCCTGGTACGCTAAATTTTGAATTATGAATTATTTCACAGAGGTCAACTATTGTTCGGGAAGAAATGATAAATTTATTTAGTAGATTGAATTTTATTGAAACCATGATTATCTGCTTGATTAGATAAAATGTGCTGCAAGCTAAATTAAGCTTCATTTCCAGCAACTGCTGCAACAGTAGCTCAATTTACTGGAGGAACTACAGTCACAAATTCAGCGGCTAATGTGCTGCTGAATTCGATTTTTCCAAATAGTCCAGTTGCTTCTCAGAATCGGTTCCTCGTACCCCAACCTATTCCTCAATTTCCTACGTACTTCCCGTCAGATTTAACCCCAAGTGCACTTTCACGTAAGCCACTTAACTGTCCACCAGTTGTACTACCTAACGAGAACTGTTTTTTGACTCCATCATCGAGCGAACCAGCTCTTTCGCAGCAACAAGTGAGTTTTCAACAGTTGGTGGGACCGCTGTCGCATATCGTTTTACCAGCTCAGAGGAGCAAGTTAGGTATCGCTAATCTGCCTACATCGAGTCAACAGCTTCCAGCTTCAGTAACTAATGCTTCCAGCGGGACTTTGAAAACTGAGTCGTTATCTTCAGTCCATCTGAATGCTATGACTCAAGCTTCTGCACCTAATATCAACTTATTAACGACGCCAGTAAAAACAGAAATCAGTTTTGATTGTTCTTTATGACGCGTAGTTAAACAATGACTTGTTATACTTGCTGTCTTTTTCTGGCTAGAAAGTGGCTCTTTTTGTTTTTTTATCTTATTTTATTTTTTTATAAATCTCTATATATTATTTCCATTCTTTATTTTTTTCGTAATGTATATTTTCAATAATATGAAGTGTGCGATACAACCAGAAACTTCAACCTCTTGTGTCTGACGCTTTTTTCGGTTGCTTGAGGTTTTTATTTTCCAACCAATATACATAATATATATATGTATATTTCCAATTACAGGTTGATATGACCAAAGAACTTTTTATTGATAAAAATTCAATTTGTTCGTTAAATTATACATTGAACACTCACCATTATATGTGTAGGCGCCGTCATTTCCAATTTGGTGTGAAATTTTTGCGAGCAGAGAACCCCGCTTCTGGAGGAACTCCAACGGTTTTGGCTCAATGCCACTGGGTATTAAGAAGGCAGCCGGATGTTATCAGACTTCCGTAAAATGTCATGAAGTTTTGTTTGAGTTGTGTGCCTGTTGTTCATTCTCTCTTTATTTCAAATTTCTCGTTGTTTGGTCCAATTTCTGCCGAGATATTGCCGGGTATGTCAGGGGACTTTTATTTTTAAATGTTACTTTATAACTTATTAACTGTTGTAATTTAGTTTGTATCCACAGGAATTTCTTGTTTTTCTGTTATTGTAAGTTGTAGGTATCGTAGATAACAAATATTTGAAAAAAAGGAGGGTTGCCGAGCAATAATGTAGAAAAAACGGTTTCAATGAAATAACTAAAGAAACGCGATTTTTTAATAAATGAA